ATTACGCGTTAGATACATTGAGATAAAAGGTCCGGTAATAGTTATTAAATTTTGTTGATTGGCGCAATATTTAGTATTACCTAACATAATAATAATAAACTGATTGATAATAATAATTACTATGCATTTAGAAAAGTAAAATCGTTTAGTTGTTCCAATTTGATACTTAAAACCAAATTATTCATTATTAATATTAATGAATATTTAATTATCTGTAATTATTTGTAAATATGTAATTATTGTCAAAATGAAAAAAGATTTACTGATTAATTTTATAATAGATTATTTGGTGCAACTAAGCGCCTAAACATAGTCAGGACTGCCGGTCGTTTCTAGCGTATAAAATTTAGTCGAGCTTTCTGTATAATCAAGTCTATATGACCGAAGCTCAGATATAATTATATAGAAAACAAATGAGATAAATGTCATCTATATAATTGCCAACAGTCTTTTTCTGAGTGTAGTTACCAAATTGTTAACAATAACTTTAATAATTGTTGTTAAATCATACAGTAATTATGACCAAACGACTTGATAACAATCATTAAATCAAATAAATATTCGAATTTTTTATAATAGATTAATTTAGTAATATTTGCCATATTATTCAGTATTTATTACTGTGTAATTTAACTGTACTTTATTTATTAATTCGTTTGGTTATATTTATCATACGATTTAGTAATAATCAACTAGCTTTATGATCAATTTCCAAATCTTGATTAAACTATTTAGTAATAGCTATCAAATTTTTGATTTTATATGTATATTAATTGAACATAACATGTGAAACCGTTTCACCAAAGTGTTTAGTAATTATCATCTAGGTTAGATTACATTGTAATTAATTTTAAGTTTTTCAGTATTGCCTTGTCCACAATTTTGCTTTAAAAGGATATAACGATATATCAGTCTTATGTCCACAGAACTTATGCTCTTAGGCCGTAAAAATTTTGTTCAATTCGCTTAAGTCTAACGGTTAAAGCCTAAAGACTGCGCAAAAACAGTTTAAAGACAGAAATTATTGTCACTTAATCTCTTTCAACTTATACCATAAGACTTCTTAAAGCAAGGTTGTGGACCGAGACTATGTTTAAATTTTTAGTACTTTCATTTTTTTTGTGTTTTTGAAAATATGTTTGACAAATCGCATAGCGAACGCGATGCTCATGAAAGTCCTTTTTTTCCTATTTTTTCTACCTCTTAAGATAATGTTACATTTAGGTTTACGTTTAGGAATTAATTATTTCTGAAATAAGAATTATCAAATATTTCAAATATTTCAAATTAATATCATCATTTATTAATTGTTTATATAAAAAAATTATTTGAATTGCGCGCGACGATATCATTGAAAAAGGAAATATACAAAAAAGAAAATCTCAAGTCGTTCTTGTCCAGATTTGTTTACTTACCATAATGAAAGCTTTGGCTAGTGGCTGATACACGATGTTATCACTGATGAATTGTACACATCCATGCCATGTATATAATTCCGGATACGGCAGCGTACTTCGTTTGATACTTGTAGATACAAATTTCTACGGAAAGTAGAAAAAGATTCATTGTAACAGCGTTTCTCGTCGCGCGGCGTATATTTTTTACGATCCTCTTTTATATTATTAAGTATCCTTATGTTAATAATTGAAATTACATTAATATTGAAATAACAGAAAAAAATTCTTGTATTTTAATGATAATTGATTATGATTAGTGTACATATTTTAATTCTGATCTTTTAATTTTTGTAAAAATTAGTCTTATCTTATTAGTTTGTAAAAATTAGTTTTATCTTTGTACAAAACCCAAATGTAAAAAAAGTAAAAAAAAGTATAAATAAATATAAAAATCCATAAAGTTTGTCTGCATTTTTTAATTCCTTAGAAAAGTAATCCTTATTATATTTTTAAGAATATTTTTAATCAAATTATCGTGCGAAATCTTATATATTATCAAGATAAAAAATTCCGTTATTGTCGATCTCTATATCGTCTGTAATAATTTATGTATATATCCTGATCCTTAATGTATATTATGTATTTGATACAAGTATATTTACGAATTTCTTGATTGCTTCTAGTTTTCACTAATTATAAGAATTATATAATACATAAAATTTTGCTATGAATGTCGATACGAATTATTATTAATCTAAATGATTCTTAATAACATTTAGAACAATTTTTTTTTAATGTTACATGATTTCACATATTTTAACTATGCAATAGCCTAATCAGCTGATCTTATGATCAGCTGATATTACAAACAGCTGATTTTGCAATCAGCTGATTTTACGTTTCACTACGCATATTTGTAGTAATCTTTTACACAAACCTTTTTCGCAAATTGCAAATATAAAAAGTTAAATTCTATTACAGAATTTTACGAATTTAAATATAAAATACGTTACTTTTATAAGATAAGTCTTTAACGAATATAATGTACCTTTTTTCTTTACCCGATTTATTATACTTCCAGTGATTTGGAAAAAAGAAAATAATTTTGTTGAATGTAAAGTTTTCTTAATTAGGAGAAAATAGAAGACTCTTTTTCTTTATACTGATATTTATTACACTAATTTGCAGCAAGAATTCGTGATTATCAGGATCATAGCTTTTTCGAGATCGAATTTTACTTACTTGTACACGACATTCATTTTCGCAGGCTAACAACAACGGTCGGCGATTCGCGTACTTCGCATGGAACTGCCGTCGAAAATTTTCTGCGTACCATAGTAGCAGTCGCTCCTTGTCATTGACGCAGTGGTAGGTATTCGGAAGTGATTGTACGTAGAGGTCCTCCGTCATTATGGAGACATCCGGCCAACACAATTTGATCAGGCACAATTCGCGTTGCAGTTGCTGCAGGATCTCCACGACAGTACTAGTGGATTTCTCTATGTCGTGCTCATCCTCCGGACGTTTATCCAGCGACGACGGATGTAGATCGTCGAAATCGAATTGCTTCTCAATCACGAGATTTGTCACGATGTCATTCATTGCGACGGCAATCTCTAATTATCCGATGTAGACTGTAAAAACATGCGTTTAAACCGATTGACCGCGAATGTTTATTAGCGTGATTATGAAACCACGATTTAAATTCACATCGATATGCAAACAAGCCGTGGTCACTATGACAACGTGATACGGCAAGTGTATCATACCTCGGTTAAAGTACCGTACATAGATGACAGCATCAAATGGAATACAGAAAATAAGAATATTTAATATTATTATTCGAAAACTTATATATACAAAATATATGCTTATTTAATGGTAATTATATCCGTATTTATTAGCGAAGATATTTGCGGAAAGTTGTCTTTATTTTTTAAGGATACTTAGGTATTTTGAAAACAATAAAAGAAAAATAAAATTTTGTAATTAATTAAAAATCTTGTCATGAGAAGAGTGAAAAATCTTTTATTTCAATAATTATTTTACAATAATGAAAAGTCTCGATGTTATATTTTTTTGAATGAGAAATGTATTACCTTAAAGGGATCCTAAAGCAAAGCTCGAACGAATTACTAGATGGCGCGCCATACATCATATGTCTTTTTATATTACCACAGCATTATCTCACGCATACTATGACACACGCACGTGTCAATTTTCGTATAAGCACTAACGAGATACTGTTAAAAATCGACATCCTTACGGGAGTTCGTATCCGTGTGAATAAAGTGATTAAGAATTAAAAATGGATAATATTACTAATTTTATGATTTATTAATTTAATAGACGTAATTATGCATTTATAACTCAATTAATACTCGATTTTCCTTAAAATTGTGATTTCAGTATTATCGTCAAAGTTTGATTATCAACAGAGATGATGTAAAGAAGAAATCGTCTTATGTACTGAAGCTAAACGTGTGAAATCAATAGTTGAATTTCACCCGGCAAAGTAGTTAGACATCCTTGCCGAGCGAATGAGCATGAGTGGTTCTTCTATGAAAATCCAATCAATCATGTTTAATTACTCGGTGAGCAGATCTAATCGCTTTGCTTGATTTCGCCTACTAATATTGCTGTAGATAAGAAGTATCTCTGATTTTTGATAGAGAAATGTTTAAAATTTAAAAAAAAAAAGAAAAATTCTTATTTTATACGAAACACACAGAAATACTTATTGTGCACTTGCTTGGCATCGATATGGAAGGAATTGCATTAAAGAAGATTATAACTTCAAAAGTAAAATAATAAAAAATGTGTTAAAATATAAAACATTCTTTTGTAAATTACTCCACATCTTTTTTCACATGATTAATCAAAATTCTAAAAATTGCAATTTATAAAATTTTAAGTTAGGAAATTCAACATGAAAAAAATCAATTTTACAACAACATTTATTAATATTAGAACCGCGAGTCTAAATTAATCCAATCGCGATTCAAGGTATATCTGAAGGAGGATTAAAAGTAAAATTACATGTAATTAATTATGATTATTTATAAAAACACAAAAATCTAAAGCTCCGTGCATATTCAAATTAACTGAAAAAGAATAACTATTTCAGTTGTATCAAAAACGATCTATTTCAACCTTATTGTGAATTTTAAATAAAATTTATTTGTAAAGGAAGAAAATTATATTGAGATACAAGCGTTAAAGATCGGCTAGAACCGTATAAGTTGTCATGGTAATTGTAAATCATAAGTGTCTCAGTTTGTCCCAAAAGATCAATATCTGTCTGTTGAATAAGAAATTAGAAACGCTATAATTTGCGATTATGTTTAAATATACATATGTATTTCGATACACGTAACATTCTACAAACATTCCGAAAGAATAGGTACATTGAATCGTTATAAGATCTCAGATCGATGGGCGTTAAAAATTGTTGCGTCGGTAGCGAAACTAGCAATAAGCTGTTCGTCGTTGCGCGGAATGAGTATTTTTGCGCCCCGAAAGTACGATTTAAGCGGCGTATATACAGTGCTCTATGCAATAACACTCCATGTGGAATAAATTTGACGAACGAGTGACTGCAAGAGACTGTATAAATCCACGAAGTGATGAAGTCGGCAAGTTTCCACTTTATAACTCTCTAACATACTATTGAATACATCATTCGAAAAAAGCGATACTTGAGTTTGTGGTTGAGATTATGACAATTGTCGTAATGCCAGTGTTTTATGACACAAGTGTGATATGACATAATTTACGAGCATTAAAATTCTACCTTTAGAAATTAAGTGTGACTAAAGATGAGGGATGATTTAGGGATGACAAATTTTGACAAGAAAAGATACTATTTCGAAAAACATATGTTCAAATATGGTCAAATTTATTGCGTACTAAGAAAACCGCCATCATTTATGCCGTCCATATATTATTGCCAATTGTCAATATAGTACAGCATTGTAATGAAATCTATGAAGTTTCAGTACAGGCAATCAACTAACAAGTAATATATAGCGTTTTCAAATTCGCGTGAAGTACGAGACGTTATACTGTACATTAAAAGAAACAACTTATTCCTTTTGCAAAATTGCTTCTGACAAGTAGTATTTGCAGGAGAGCAAGTTGAAGGCTACAAATAAGCGCAAAAATTGTTTATTGCAGGCAATTTTGTTAAAGGAAAAAGTTGTTTGTTTTAACATAAAGTAATACGTCTTATATTTTGCGAATTTTGAAATACCCTGTGGATGGTGAAGACTATTATCTTTTATACTAGTAACTTTTACCGTTTTTAGATGTTTTTGATTGAGGAACGATGAGTCCTGGTGTTCGAGCTGATATTGAGATATTATTGGTTGTCGTGCTGCCGGCAGAAATGTTCTCGAGTTTTATTTTCTTGTGGGACGGACCGGCTTCAAACTCCTCAGTTCTCCTAGTAGCTCCAGAAGTGGATGAACTACAACATTGTTGCTTCGACCGGTGGTGTCGATTTTGATGAAGACTTACCTGCTCCATTATTGTTACTATTATCAGACCTCGATCAGAATATGCTGTTTGTATTTTGCTAAATCTATTCCTGACAGTGGTAATCGAAGCTTTTATGTTGTTGACTTGCAACTTATTTTGTTTTCCGCCTTATACCATCCTCCAAACGTAGAATCTGGTACACCGATGTCGCATGCCACAGCAGCATTGAATTCACCATTATGAATTCCCATAATGGCGTTTAATTTTTTTTTAATCGATTTCAACGGTCATTTGGTTGCCTGCCGCGATTTATTCTGCGGCATCGTACCTCTAGATGAACCCATATTCGGCCTAGGATCGCTGACATTTAAATTGCCGGGTCATATCTGCCGGGTACCATGTAATGATTGGTGTTATGTTGATGACGTATTAATCTGCGATCTCTTCAGTCCCCAGATCCCCCTGAATCTGGGGAGAGATTCATGGAGAATTCTTGTTGTTGATCCAGCTTGTTCTTCGTAATATCACTATGGTTGGCGGGATTGGAGTTAGTAAATAGTTAAAAAAAACAGTTAAAAAAATGTTAATAACTTTTAACTTAACTTAATTAATTTTAAATGCATTAATTTTTAACTTAATTTAGTATTTTTAAAACTTTAATTTATTAAACAATATAAGAAGGGCAAAGAGCCAATAATGTAACAAAGAACTTATATTTAAATGAAAATAATATAATAATTACAAAGAATAAAATAATACGTTTCGATTTCGATCGAGTCATTCTCATTGTTACGGTAAACATATATAATATTACAAAACTCGTTATAAGTGTATAAAATACACTTTTACGTATTTTTCACTTTGTGTAGTGCTGCGAGTCAGTTATAATAAATCGGAAATCAAAGTAGTAAAAAAGTAATACTCGTATAAGTTATATCATATGTTGAGAGTTTGTTAATAAAAAAGAGAGAACAAAAAGATAGAAATCCAAATCGTGGTAGAATACATTGGTTTCTTAATTAAAATTGAAGCAAATTTGCAAGAATAATGAACATCTTACTTCGACGACATCGGATAACGCAAATTAATTTATTAACGTTTTTTAAATTGAAAATTTTTCTAGTTTTCTTAATACTAATATTTTTTTTCTATAAAATCTTAAACATTAGAGAATTAATATGTCAATTTTTAATATTTACTGATATGTGCCAACACGTAAAAAATATTGAATTTTTTTAATCTAATCCTTCTCGAGAGGAAAGTCGATACTTTGCCACAAATAAAGTAATCAGGTTCTGCCAATCGAAGTCATATGCTTAATGAACACAACAGTGTCAGTATCTACAATAATATGTTTAGTAATATTTTTTTTAATTATTTATGTTTGAAACTATACAGCTTGTTGTTTTATCGTAATAATAATGCTACTTTCTCTTTTATTTGATACCAAACTTATTATTCTTGCCATTTTGTATAAAATTTATACCAAATGGCATTTATACAAAATTTATTCTCCGTTTAATTCTCTAAATTAAGATTATAATATAAATTAAGATTATATGCCTTCGTGCCTTTCATTTACCTTAAATTTCATTTCTTCAAATGAATAAAACAATATTTCAGTGTCAGTCAATAACACAATGTAATACCCTCGTCAAAAATGCGCGAAAAAAAGAATGACATTTCAATAGAAGAAAGAAGTGACCTGCTAGACACCGTCTATAGAATATTTAAAGTACGTTCACGACCCATACATAATAATCAGAATAATATTCCGAGGTAGATAAGAGAGATACTTAACAAAGAAACATATCTCCCAATAAAAATGTGAGACGCATCAGAGTTATTTATTAGCAAAATTACATGCATGATTTGATATATTTGCGATTTAATTGTTGATATATCTTAATTAACAATCTTGATTATGAAGATCGCGATGTATTATTCTCTCGAATCTTTGATGAGAAAATTTCTTAGAAAGATTCCATGATTTGATAGAATACTACTGATGTACTATTAATTTGTTGTACGAAAGCCTATACTGATCGAAATTTCGCAATCATACCGTTGTCATGAACTCTCAATCCGTGTTACACTGTGCATTAGGTTGTGCTTATGGCACTTACAGATGCCAATTATCATTTTATAGTAGATATTGGCGATGAAGGAAGGCGAAGGGATGGCGGTATATTCCACCAAGTATATTCCAGCGCGCGCGCGCGCGCGTGTACAATAAATATATATCTTGTTTTAAATGAAAAATTTTTTGAGAATTTCAAACGATAAATCCATTATAAATCTATACTATTGGGTTATCTAAAAAGTATCCGCGATT